TTGGGAAGTTTAGGAGTGCTGATTACGTCTTTATTTTCAAGTAGGAGAAAGAATTCCTTTCAAGGCATCAGTTGGGCTGGATGCAAGAGCTATCTGAAAGGCTTGAGCCCTTGGGAAGTGACTTTGTGGAAGAGTTGTCACAGTTCTCTATAATCCTGGACAGTGCCTTTCTTTCCATTTTTCTTCCTTTATTTCCTTCCTCTTTCCCTCCCTCCCTTTTCTTCCTTCCTCCCTCCCTCCCTTCCTTCCTTTCTGTGTGTTTCAAATAAGAGAAACACAGGAAGCTGTTACAAAGTGGGAATTTCCCCAATCACAGGAGCCATCTGACAGAGGCTTGGGCAATGCTTTGCACACTTGTGCAGTCACTTAATAAACAAACTCAAGGGAAATCACTCCCCTGTGTGCATTCTTAGCAGCTGCAGAGGTGAATCTTTTTTGCCCGTGAATCCTAAGCTGCTTAAGTCCCTGTGGGTCCCCAGGTCGGGTCCCCAGGATGGCTGCTCATAAGGGCACACTAGATGCTGGTGCTTGGTTTTGACAAGAGGACGAAAGGGATTAGAATCCACACACAGCTCCATTTCAACATTAACCAAAGTGCTCCTTTCCATAATCTAACATTTCCCATGGTAGCTTGGGAAGAAACACCTTCTTGGACCCTCCAGCAAAATGTGTTAAGGCTACAAATGCGAGTAGGACACAGGAAGCACGTGTTGGACCTAAGCCTATGCATTTAAGCTACAGCTTTGTGCAGCATTTCCTGCAAAACCAGAAATACATCCTTTCTTCTCTGCACCTTCTAGAACACCTGTAATTACAAAAAGAAAAGGCGCAGAGACACGCGCAATTACCTGCTGGGCAGGGCTCTGATATAAATAGGACACGGGAAAAGGTATTTGCCAGGTAGGCTGTAAGAAACCAGCAAGTTGTAGCATGCTAACCCTCCCAGCGGCAGCTCTGTCTGTAGCCAGGTGGGCCGAACAGTAGATGCCACTTCAATATGGAGCTAAACACTCAGCATGCCAAGGGTCCTCTTTGCTGCCTGGAAGAGGCACAGGGCACACCCACAGTATGAGCTTGCTATGAGTGACAGGCCAGCCGTCGCAAGAGGGTACCAGGTTGGCTGAGAAGTACTGTAACTGGCCTGCCAGGGAGTGACAGCTCCTGCTGTGTCTTCATGAATCTGAACCCTTACTCTTCAAGGCCCAGCTTAAGCCTCACTCCTCGGAGAGGCCACAGCTTCTCCCATGCTTGCACTACATCCTTGCATCTCCCTGTGCATTGTTGCCTAAACTGCTTCAAGCCCGTGACTTCCAGCTTTGAGCTCCTGGTGGGGAGGGGTACCAACACAGGTCTGGATGCTTCATAGGGAGGCGTGGAGGAACACTGGTGGGGGATGCAAAAGGCCATTCTCGTTCTAAACAGAGCTCTGACGAGACCCAGAAGTAAAGGTCCATTTCTTCTACCTTTAACACAGACCGCGTGCTGCCGCAACAGCAAAGCCTGGGGAGCGCAGCAGCACACTCTGTCACTCTGCTTTCACAGGAAAGGCTGTGCGGAGTCTCAGCCAGTGAACCCCAGGCGGCAGGGGGACACAGAACCCTGACTGTGTGGGGTGTAGAGTTAGCCATGCCAGCCATATCCATCCTCTTCCTGATGGCCACGGAGACCCTTTCCGAGTGACTCCTTCTGAAAGTCACCCGTCCTACCATGAAATAAATCAGAAAGTTACTGGCGAAATAGGTGGTTCCTTTTATATGGAGATGGGTCTTCTCCCTCCCCCCTCCCCCGCCGCCCCATCCGTCCTAGACTACCGCACTGTCACACGCTTTTCCTGTGTTTTCTTCATAGCTTGACACAATGCTATTGTACACAGTTCACAAGATCTCTGACCGATGACAAGTTATCCATAGAGACAAACACCCCAGGTTTCTCTGCTCACCTCCAGGACACTGCACAGCATAGGCATGGTTCTTGAGTACACACCTCCCTAAGCTTGTTATACAATCACTTAGTTCATGGTGTGTGTGTGTGTGTGTGTGTGTGTGTGTGTGGTGCTAGGGATTGAACCAAGGCTTTGTAAAATGCAAAGCAAGCACATTACCACTGAGCAACACCACCCAGCCTTTTTTTTTTTTTTTTTACAACATGTAAACTAACCTTTTTAGTTGCCTGGAGAGTTTGGGGGAATTTCAGAATGCGGACTCGAGGTCATACACGCAGAGATTTCACAGAAAGAAAATGAGAAATTTCTTTCATGCTCCCTCAGATATTTATGCCCATACAGACCCAGCTGTGTTAGGATAAGCCTTTGTTTGGAGGTGGCAGTCACTGGCTTGAATAGCACTGCTGGGCAATGACACAGTGTAAGCAGAAGGGCGGCGATTCCAGAACAAACTCAGCTGCAGGCTGGGGACCCAGCAGCCCACGTCTGTCTGTGGGCTGCACTGTGAAACATGCTACCTGATAGCGTGTCCTTTCCACCCACATGTGGCCATGCAATGACATCCTTTCTTCTACGAACTGTCCTATTACAATTCCAACACAGTTTTTTTTTTTTTTTTTTTTTGCAAGAAAAATCTGGTCACAGCCCATTCAACCCATTTGCTGATCACTGATGGGTCACAACACACAATTCTGAGAACCAGTGGACTAGTAATGGCTGGCCTAAAGATGCTTTTCCATTAGGTGATCTGTCTTGGGAGCCCAGCAGGAAACAAGAGCCAGGAGAACAGCACCCTTAAAAATGTAGCTTGGAAACACCCTCAGGTCCTCCTCCAGTCCTTCAGCTGAATGAAACTGTGTCAGTCTGAATCCAGGACCTGTGACAGGCACTAGAAGGCAGCAGAGGCAATGAGAAGACAAGTATGGCTTATGTCGGGTCCAAGACTTACTCTGCCAATCAAAAGGCAACGTCAGATACTATAAGAACAGACTGGGGTGGAGGGTTGGGGGTAGCATGTGGAGTCTGTACCTACTTCTGTCCAGACCTTCAGATGGAAACATGAGACAGGGGATCCCAGGATGCTGCCTCTTGCTTCTCAAGGAAAACATGGTTGAAAATCCTTTCACACGGCTCCAGCAATTACCCTGGACGATGCCTGCACCTTCTTGGCCTTGAAAAGCTGCCTGGAAGCTGTAGGTTAGTAAACCATTCTCACACTTTCCAGGTCAAATGCAAATCCCTGATTCCATCAGCAATTTCCCTTCCAGGCCTGACGTGTGGGAACTGTTTATGGTTAAGCTATTTACGGACGGTTAATCACAATATATGAAACTGGTCCTTCCACTGAAGGGGAAAGTGCCAGGTGCAGACAGGAGGGAGGCCTGAGCTACCTCCATGCTGGCACCTTTTACCTCCAAAGAGGGATGTCTCAGAGCAGTGGATCCTAAAAGGCAGGCTCCAGGGCTGCCACAATACTCTGCCCAGTCCTGGCTGTCAGCAGAAGGCATTCCATATCATTATTAGTGACTTTGGGAAAGCCAGTGCGGTAACCACCCACCCTCCACCTCTATTTCAGGGAAGCTCCAGGGGACAGCCACAGTCTTGGTGTGGCTTCTTCAGGCTGTAGTGTAGTTCTCTGTGGCACCCACGGCATAGGTCAGATCATGAGAGTCCTCTATTTTGTGTGTAGGACGTTTGTGTTCATATGTGTGTACATGTGAGGGCCAGAGGTCAACACTGGGTATCTTTCTTGATTGCTCTCCACCTTATTTCTTTTCTTATTTTACTTAGAGACAGGGCCTCGGAACCTGGGCCTTATCAAATAGCTTGGGTGGCTGGCCATCGGACTTCAGACATTAGCCTGTCTCTCGAAGCCCCACCCTCACCCCAGCAATGGGGTTACAGACAACACTTCTCCTGCTGGGTATCTGATCTCAGGTGTCATACTTGAGTAACGTCTCCCCAGTTTCCGTGAAAATTTTAAAGAAGTTGTATTTTTTTGTGATAGATTTGATTTCACGTTGAAAGTTAAAGAGGTCTAGCACTAGAGAAGAAGATAAGCAAATAGGGTAGCACATATATAAAGGCTCTCTAGTCTACGTATGTGAAATTCTATCACATGCTACATACAGGACAGAACCTGAAGGATATAATGTTAAGCAAAACAAAGCAGTCACAGGGAGGACAGATGCCACATAACTCCACTTAGCTGAAGCATTTAGAGTTGACTAGTCCAAAGACAGAAACAGAAAGGCTGTCTGCAGGGGCTGTGGGCAGGTACAGGGGTGCTATATAATATTTTGATACCGTTTGCCACCTGAAGGGTCCTGCCTTAAAACCTTGGTCCTGGAATGGTGGTGTTGGGGTGGTGAGCTAATTAAGGCAGGCAGGAATAAGGGGGACGGTGGGAAAGCTGGTAGGCCAATTGGGGGTTGGCCTTCAGGAGTCTGAGGGACCCCAGGTACAGTCCCACTTTTTGTTGGACTATGTTTTTACTCCTTCCTACATAACCTTGGGCTTTCAGACTAACTGTGACCATATAGAGGCATTTTGAAAAGGCAGCCTGCACAGAGTGTTTTTGCTCATTCAGGTATTTTGCTGCAGTTAAGGGAGGAGAGGCTGAAGCCGCCAGCTATCTTGAGTGGGTAGAGTTTTGGTTTTGCAAGATTAAGGGAATTGTTGAGGTAGCTGGTAGCAATAGCTACAAACATCCAAACATACTTAATGCCACTGAACTGGACACTTGAAATAGTAAAGCCGGTAAGTACTGTATTGTCACATTTTGTCACAGTACAACTGAGGAAGAGATGAGGGATAAAGCTGAGAACTCCGGCTGGCTCATCACCCAGGTCAATTCTAATTCGAAACCCTTCCCCAAAGCACGGTTCCCGGTAGCCAAGCTGAAAATATTATTTCTGCCAGCATCTCTCTGGGTCTTCAGGACTTAGGCGCGTTTGCTGAGGATCTGTCTTGGACTGTCAGCACATCCCTTGGCTCACCAGGCTCTACACGCTGGTGCTCTGCAGTAGCCTGAGGAGGGCATGGCTGGTGACCGTACCTGGATGGGTAGCCGGCGGCGCTGATCCGAATGGTCTCCAATACTCCGCAGGCTCTGAGTTGCTGCACAGCTCTCTTCGGGTCGAAGCTGCCAAGTAAGGAACATCATGAAGGGAGGCTGGCATTGAGAGAAGGGGGAGAAGGAACGCTCTCCTGTCCTGCAGCATATGAGACACATGCTGCCACCAAGCTGCAGACGGCCACACGCTAGGTCAGGGTAAAGCGCAGACTGAAGGGTGGAAGAACCATTTGTTTTATTTTTCAAGACAGGGTTTCTCTGTGTAGCCCTGGCTGTCCTGGAGTCAATTTGTAGACCAGGCTGGTCTTGAACTCACAGAGGTCCACCTGCCTCTGCTTCCTCGAGTGCTGAGATTAAAGGCATGCACCACCATGCCCAGCTCTGTGCCCATTCTCAATGCCATCCTTTCCTTTGCCCACTTGCCTATCTGAGTCCTGCCCACCTTCCCAGTCTCATTCCTGTCTGTTCTCCAGAGCTTGCCCTGAGCACTTCCACACAGACTTTCAGATGTGTGTATGATGCAAGGAGGGGAAAGAAGAGGACAGGGCTCAGCAGTGGGACACTCCGTGGTGAAGGTGCTGAAGGGAAACCCTGGGGAAAGATAGCACGAGATTAGCAAGAAGTCTTATTAGGGACCAAACCGACCCAGAATTAGTCACTTTTCAAAATTTGGTGGGACCGATGCCCCACTTACAGAAGTGATGGGGAGCGAATGTGCATGCCCTTTCTTTCTGACTATCTGTGGCTCAACTGAAGCCAATGGCTACACTTCTTTCGTTCCTTGCAATCTGGAGATGAAAGAACAAGTCTGAGGACCCACAGGGCTTGCAGCCTGGGAGAGCACAGTGGCTCTGGCAGAAACCCTGATGAGGCTGTAGGCAGTTCTCTTGCCCTGGCAGATGAAGAGAGGTGGGAGTTACACCAGCCTGAGAACCTGTATGAGCCCACAGGACAAACCCCTGGCATGCCCTCCATCACTCTCCCTGACAACCCAGTGCTCCTTTGCAGCTGCACAGCCCACCTGGACTCTGGAATTCTAAGGACAGAGCTGGCCTGGAGACGGCTGCCCTCTGCCAGGCTCTGTGAGACTAACTACTTGTCTTTGTGTGACCTGCCCTTGCCCACATCACTCCCTCATGCTGGCTGCCACACAAGCCTGCCTTATGAGTCATGAAGCTGTGGCATCTGGTGATCCATGTCCTGACCTTGCCTAGCTTCACGCGTGCATTTTCCTAGAGACCGAGGATTTTATGCTATCACTGCATATCAGGCATGCTCTGACTCCATATATGTCCTAGGGTTGAGCGTACCCACACACTCCTTCCGGCCCCTTCTTGTTCCTCCCTCCTTACCTCTCTCACACTGCCTGCACCCCAAACCTGGCTTCTCCAAATTCTTTTCCAGCTCACTGCAACTCTAAATGAGAGGGCCTCAGGTCCCCAATGACATTCTGTGTATAAGGGAAAACAGTGTTGAACTTTACATGGTCTTCCTTAGAACAGTTACTTGATGATTTAATTTCCTCTTGTTAGGACCAGAGAGCTCTGCAGTAAGAGGCTTGGGAGACAAAGAGAAACACTGAGCCTCTCACTGGAACCCTTTCCCGGTCACCTGAGAAGCTTTTGTCCTCTTTGATGTGAAGCACCGTTCTGGGATCCTGGCCACCCTCCCCTGATCTAACAAGAAGTCTCTTAGGACTTAAGAGCCACTCACCATGCTGGGAAGGCCTTCCTGGCGCAGGCTCTGCTTCTCTTGCCTCTAAGGCAGTCAGCCAGAATGGATACTCTGGAGTTTTCGGAAAGTTTTAGAGAAATGTGGGACTTTTGTCCCAGGGTTCCTTATCTAACCACTACAACTGTGGCTGCCACCTAGAACCCGAGACGTCTGCTTGGCTCTGCCTCCCAAAGTGTGATCAAAGGCACGAGCCACTTCCCTCAGGCCCCCTCCAGTTTTTCAAAGAACTACGCTCTTTCTCAGGAGCTCAGATCTTTCATCACCCTTGCACCACCCTGTCTACCGTGGCTTTGCACTTCAGCTATGCACGACAGCTATGCACTTCAGCTCTGAGACTGGGCCCTGTGGAGCGGCCAGGGCCCAGCTTGCTGAGTGAGCAGCCCAAGGCAGTATAGTGAATTGCTGGGAGAAGAGGCTGCAGGTGGGAGCAATCTGCTCCTGGGCCCTACACACTATGCCTGGAGCTGGTCCTACAGAACATAATTCTTCTGGAGCTTTCGTGGCCCAGGTTGGCCTTGACTTCAAGATCCTGCTGCCTTTAAGTGCCACTACATGGCCTAAGGCAAGTATTTTCTTACTTTAGTCTTAGCAGCTCAGCAATATACTCCCTACCTGCTCCATCCCACTCCAGGCAGCAGCGGCATCCCACCTGTGGTCCCCAGTGTGGACCAAGCAGCTGGAGGAGAATGGGTACAGCTAGGCCCCAGCTCCCTACTAATAGCTGGGGCCACTTTAGGCAAGGCACGATCTCTGCCCAAAACACAACTCTCAGACGTGTGAGAGTCACCTCATTGTTTTCTTGCCTTTCCATTTCCACAGTATTTTCTCAAGTCAGTTCTCTCCCTGCATTCTGTGGGCTCCCAAGGATTGAACTCAGGCCATCAGGCTTGACGCCCAAGTTTCTATTGACCATTTTGCCATTTCCATCCTCATAATGTTTTTATGGTACTCGTGATGGCCACTTCCGCGGCAGTGACACTCATTTGTGACATACAACTCCTTAACCAGGGGCCGGGGGTGGGGGCCGTATCCTAATGCCATTCCACCTGTCATAGCCAAGTGCCTAGTGAAAAAGAAGACAGATGCTTCTTGGCTGAAAGCAGAGGGAAAGACTTTTATATGGTAAGTGTTATAAAAAATATACAGAACAAGGGCTCTTGCCCCCTAGGGAACACTTGGTAATGTGTAAAATGTTGGTTATCACACCGATGGAGATGCTACTAGTATGCGAAAGATAGAGGCCCGTGGGGCTTCCAACCATGCTTTAATATTCAGGGCAATCATCATCTACGACTAAAAGCTGTCTGACCCGCATGTGAATGCTGCTGAGGACGAGACACTGGGAAGTAGAATTGGGAGGAGGAATGTAATGAATTTGCTTCTGCAATAATATCAATAGTTAATGTCAACATACACAGCGATGTATATGAACCATTGTGTTGTGCACATGCAGAGGCCAGAAAGTCAACCTCCGGACACACACAGCCTTTTAAGGCAGGGTCTTTCAGCTGGTGTGGGGCTTGCTGCTCAGGCTACCTTGGCTGGCCACTGAGCCCCAGGGATCTATCTCATATCTCCAGTGCTGGGACTACAAGGCTGGACAGCTTTTTAATATGATCTTAGGGATCAAACTCAGGTCCTAAACTTGCAAGGGAAATGCTTTACTGATTGTATTATTTCCAAGCCTATAACAACAAGAACAACGTATTTTAACCATATAAATTGTTATTCTTCTCATTGGTAACTCATTTATTATCTTCTTGTATTTTTTTTCCCAAATCAAGACATTGTAGTGTCATAGTTAACTGGCAAAGAGTGAAAGATTAGCTTGAAACCATCTGACTCTGATTCTGAACTACAAATCAAGTTTTCTGTCTTGGTCATAGTCTCTCTCTCTCAGTATGTCTCTCATTGTCTTAGTCTCATTCTTTCTCTCTTTTCCCTTTCTCATCCTACTCCTTTCTGCTATGTGTGTGTGTTTGTGTGTGTGTATGTGTGTGTATGTGTGTGTGTGTGTGTGTGTGTGTGTGTGTGTGTATGGGGGTTGGGTGTGTGTGTGTGGGGGGGGTGCTAGGCCTTATGGAGGATCTGGCATTGGCTGAGTACCAGTCTCTGATGAATGAACCAACAGGGTCACAGTTGGCTGGAGTGGAACAGGTAGCAAGTGCCACTTCTCTTCTCCCAGGCCCCGCATGCCATTCTGCCCACCACTCCTTCGAGTCAACAGATCCAGGGCAGAGGATTCCCAAGCATGCCTCAGATGCGTGGAGCAACGGGAGCAAGAAAGCAGGCAGCGTGCTTAGAGAAGGCTGTGTTCAGCACACAGCGTGCTTGGGAAGGAACTGACCGGCCAGTACGTGACTCTGCCTTCCCCGTTCCTGCCAATTCCAGAGGCTGGCTAAACAGGCTTGGACGGAAACCCCCTGGCACTTACTGGAAGGGAAGCTTTTCATCATTTGGCTTGATGCATCGCACATAGTGTGGCGTTGTGGCATTCAAGGTCTCCATAAGCAGGTTTAGGGAAGTGCGGAACTGCAGGGGAGAAGCCAGACCTCGGTTATTTCTAACATTCTGCTGGATACACAGCAAAGAAACACTAACAGATCAGCAACGGCCTTGCTAGTGGTGAGAGCAGAAATAACTATTATTACTATGATTAATTCAGAAAGAAGACATTCAGTGAGCAGGGGTTAGAGTCTAGCTGACACTTCTAACTTGCTATGAAGAAAACTGAGTCCTTCCATAGCAGGGCTCTTCAAAGTAAATGGGGGAACTACTCCATAACATGCCTAACTCCCAGTGTTAGGGGAATCCGCGAGATGAAAGGTAAGTATTAATAAATGAGAGCTCTGCCTGCTGTGTGCTAGGGGCCTGCTATCCCTGACCATGGGGAATGCAATCGTAATGCCTGTACCTAGACATCCTGGAAATGATGGGGCTCATATGGAATTTCCCAACTGGCAAATCCACAGGAATTAAAGCAGTTGTGACTACCAGATCCTCCTCTTTGGAGACACACTGAGAAGTGAGCACTTTAGTTGGATGTTCCCTGGGCTTATGGAGCCCTCCTCCCTGACAATATCTGAAGACTTTTACTGGGACCCTGCATCTAGCCCCTTTCTTCTGCAGCCTTCCTCCAAGTCAGCCCTGCTACACATGCCGCCAGCCTGGGACTAGGACTGACCTGGTAACCCACGGATTTCTTGTGCTCCTTGTTGGCCACCTTCATGAGGGGTCTGGAAGAGCGAACGTGGATCTTTGAAGATGATCGACTCTTAGCTGTATTGGTGGCAGGAACAGAGTCCTTGTCATCATGGAACAAGTCAGCCACTAGTGGGAACTAGACACAATCACAAAAAGAAGGGTACAAAGGAGGTCTCTTATGGCATAATGTTGTTTATCTTCTTTCAAAGCAGCTAATATATATTTCTGACAAATAAAAATACACGAACACAGCCAGTGTGGTGGCACATGTCTTTAATCCTAGCACCAAGGAGGCAGAGGAAGGCAGATCTCTGTGAGTTCGAGGACAGCCAGGGCTAAACAGAGAAACCCTGCCTCGGGAAAAACAGAAACAAACTCATAAATACGCACCCACACAGAGCTCTGTGCACCCATGCTCGTAGTGGCATTATTCACAAAAGCTACCGAGTAATAATGACTCACGTGACCATCATGAACGGACAAAGAGCGGTTCATCAGTATGATAGAATATTAATCAACAATATAAAGCAATGAAGTTCTCAAACATAGCACAGATGAGCTCTGAAAACGTGGTGCTTGAAATATAATGAAGACGTTATATATGGCAAAAGCCATGTGTAAAAAAAAAACAACAAAACCCACAAGAAGCATGTGAGTCTGTTTAGTTGAAATCAAGTGTCCAGAGGACAGAAAGTGTCCCACTGTTTGTCTAAGAGGGAGAGGAGTGGCAGCTAATGCGTGCAGCTTTTCATTTTTGAGTAATGACAATATTCCTGAGTTTGCAGCGAGGCGGCACAACTTGGTTGGGTTACTAAAAGCCACTCGAGTTTACACTTCAAAAGGGTGGTCTGTGGTGAGTGATAGCTACCTCAGTCTTTAAAAGGGCTGGAAAAGGTTGCTCTTTCCAACAGTGTTACTTAACATTCATCTACAAAGACAGCCTCAGTTCCTGGTAGTGTAGCAGGAGGTAGGTATAGACATTCACAAACTATGTCTAACACTTATTGTTGGACATTGTCATGTTATTTGACTTCCCTGAGTCCTAGGTTTTCCATCAGCACAGTGGGGTAAGACTGCATCTAATTATACAAGATTATTATGAGGTCTCTGTGCTAGTGTGACAAGGTGCTAATGACACAGAGAGTTAGTCCATCAAGGCTCTCAGCCTGATAAGGACATACCCTCATTCCCTGAGCACACTTAAGTGGGACCAGCACTGTGAGGTCTCCAACACATACCTGACAGTGGGAGGAAAAAAAAATATGGATGCCTCCTTTGTCAACCCTGGCATACAGTATATCAACAGAAAAAAAAAAAGCAAAAGGGTAGTGAGGCCTCAGACTCCAGGCTCCTCTGATCCACTCTGCACGCTCTTCCTTTAGAGCCCAATTAAGTGCATGATCCCCCTCCGCCACTGTGTCTGAATGCCCTGGGCCAGCACGTCGATGCCATCACTTCCCAGGAGGTTCTTCCAGCACAGTTATCAGGCTGCGCTCCCTGCTCTTCCTGATGCTAAGCATCATGTCCCTATCCATCCTTCCACCTTTGCTCTGTGTTCATCTTACCTCAGGTATCCCACCCTTCATTCTCTCTGCATGTCTTAAAGCCTGTCTTCTCCAGGACCTGCCCTGAATCCCTTGTACTCATTCCCAACATCCTCTACCAACTCCTAAATTGTGCATTACACAGGCCCGGCCTAGAGCAGGGACAAGCCAACTTGGCCTGTGATGGGCCAAGAGCCCTATTCTTGCTGAGCCCGCTGAGTCCTTGCTGCTCCCAGCACAGAGATAAAGGCAATACGAGAGTCCCCATGTAAGCACACAGAAGACACTCACTACTGAGACATTATCTAGTTTTATTATTAGGTTATGACACAAAACCAATATGTTTCATATCATACATGCAATCTAGAAATTAAAAAAAGACCACAAAAGTAGGAGGGGACTATTTAAGAAAGGGATGGGAATGGGGGAGAGGGTATAAGTGAGAGTAATGAGAGAAACTATAATCAGAGAACATTTTACATATGTATCAAAAGTCATAGTGAAATTCATTATTTTGTACAGTTAATATCCTCATGACAAAGGGATGCTATAAAAATTCAGATAATCTTGGTGGTGAATGAGATTGGATACTGAAACACCTTGAAGATTAATAAATCATCTTTCAGGTGTGTCCAAGGGAATCTCTACTTAAGATTCACTGAATGAAGAAGAGCCCCCTTCCCAGTGTGGGATCTCTGTGAGTTTGAGGCCAGCCTGGCCTTCAAAAGCGAGTCCAGGAGAGCCAAGGCCACACACAGAGAAACCCTTTGTCTCGAAAAACCAAGAACCAAAAACAAAACAAACAAAAAAACAAACAAACAAAAGAAAACTAGAAGCCAAAATAAATTTTTCCTCCTTGCAGTTACCTTGCTCAGTATTTTGTCTCAGCAATAGAGTGCAACTAATGCACCAAGGAAGCCATTTTTAAGATCTATATATAGCAGCATAGAATTTTAGATCTGCCATTAGCCACATGAAGCAACAGGAATCCATGGAAAGGAGCTACCAGACCCTGCTTCAGCCCTGTTCCCACCCTGTGAAACACAGGAGCTGACATACGCCCTCCTGGGGCTGCCAGACGAAGGCAGAGGCCAAGCTAGGGTCCTGGTTTCTGGGTACACGTGCAGAGCTTGCTTCCTTATGGTTCTTGTAATCAAGGTCAAATACATGAAGGCACCAGTGAAAACAGTCCTCCTACCAGTAACATCTGCTCACATGAACTTAAAGAGGGAAATTTAGGCGAAGAGGGACGCTCTGTCCTACAACAGCATCTTTGCGTCAGGCTGCAGGTCCTACACGGCACGGACAGCAGCTCACGCTCTGATCATGTTCTGCAGCAAATGTCCCAGACCTTCCACAAGTGCAGTCTCAGGTCAACAAGTATTCAAGTATTCATTAGGCACTTGGGGGACATAAGTAGAGTATCAGGTCAATAGCTCAGGAAGTGGCAAAATCATGACAACTCCACCACCCCCAAAACAATTCAGCGGAGCACTCTGTTAGTTCTTCCCAGGCATGTGTTCTGTTCTCAGAGAGTGTACATTCGTTTCTTTTCTTGTTGCAACAAGAGAAAGCAACTGCACGGGAGAACACTCATGCTGGCTCACAGTTAGAGGGTTTAGTCCCTCGAGGCAGGGAAGTCAGGGAGACAGGAGCTTGACATGGGCGGTCACATTCCAGTCACTGCACCCCCTTCTGCAGTGAAGGATCTGGAGGCTTAGGGCCCCAGACCACAGGGCTACTAAGGGAAGAAACCAAGACTTAAAACCAGACAGCTGGAGGGCTGCCTCATCAAGATACAACCTCACAGCGGGGCAACCACCTGAGCCCTTTTGGAAAAGATCATTGCCTGCAGATCAGTGATAAATGCTGCTGCACAGGCAGAACTCTCCTCCTCTCCTCTGCACAGGATCCAAACCTGGTAAGCATGGGTCTCCCACCACAATGAGCCTAATCAAGATAATCCCTTGCCAGAATGCCCAGGAGCTTGTCCGTTTGGCAATTCTAGATCCTGTCAAGTTGAGAATCATAACTATTAACCACAATACGGTCTTAGAAGTCTTCGGAAGTTAGGAAATGTGCCTAGGCTTTCCGTCGTAATCCGCAGAAGGCCCTACCTCATCTCACCTCCCGGTAGTCACAAACATCTGACAAAACAGCCATGATGAGACACCTCCACGTGAGTACGTGGAAAGCATTCAAATAGAGCAGCAAGATGGTGCTGGTGGCACGCCACAGCTGTTCTCTGAACTTGGGTGTCGGAATCAGGTGAAAAATGCCATCCAAAAGCAGGCTCTACAACCCTGTTAGGGAACTATGCTGAGTGGCGGGCTGAGGTGATGGGGGCCTACAACAGGCCAGTGGCTATCTCATCCCCTGGGGCCTGACGGTGATGTATGGCCACTGCACTGGGAGATACAGGCACTGCCCAGCAAGCACTCCCTCATCTGCTGTGACGACCTTTGGCCTTCTTTGCCTGGTACTAAAACGGACAAAAATCCGAAAGAGGAAAGCACCAATTTTCACCAATCGTTAAACCTGGTCATACATACAAATTTCTGAGAGGATCACCGACCCACAGGTGCAAAGATTTTAAATTGAAACAAAGGATATAAGCAACTACTTAACCCTGAGGAGTTCTAAGTTTACATTTTAAAGTCAATTTTAGAGTCAAGAGTACTTATATATAAGTGTTTTACAATGCATAGTAGCCAGCAACTGTAGGCTCTGAGCAACAAAACTGCATACTGTGCTCCTGTGAGTGATTATGTGCTTTTGCGTGTGTGTGTGTATTTATGTGTGTGTGTGTTGAAATCAACATGCCTGCTTCCTCTTCCCTCATGTCCTTCATTTCTCACAGAAACAACCACGAGAACCACCTTAATTTTCAGGTTTTTAGCTCCGTGGTTTGCATATCAATCATCTTTATAGTTTACTGGCCTAGGAAGTCTAAAAGCACCAACCAATCTGGCCTGGGGTTAGGCACAAATGTTTGTGTAGCATATGGGAGGTCCTGGGCTTGACTGCCAGCATCAAAAAAATAAAATGAATGAATAAAGGTATAAACCAGTAATGTAAAATCAAAGACCATGTCTTGTGAGTAGCACAAGTAAATTCTTTTGGCTGCTTCATGGCTGTAACAGACTGGTGACGATCAGAACTAGAGAATGTGATCAAATTCATGAGCAAAACACTCCAAATCCTGGCCCAGCGCCTGTAAGGGAAAACCTTATCCAAAATATTTACATAATAGGAAATAAAGAGACTCCATTCCTTCTAAGGGTGTTGAGAACAATGATGTCAAGCAGGTGGCTTTCAGGGTCCTCCAGGGACATATTTATAGGTTATTCCAAGTTTTAGCTGCCAACAGGTGGCTATTCTGCATCTTTGCAATGGATTTTATGGCATTTCAAAGTCACACATACTGGTTTTTTTTAGAGAAAGGACCTAGCTACTTAACTACATTTGTGTCAGTATCATAGCAGGGTTACTTTCCCTGGGGATTCAATTCTATGTGCTACCACAGAAATAAAGTCAATCCTTCCCAATCCCAGATATTCAACCCATGTTGTGCTGGGGCCTGGTAACACAA